TCAGGCACACCGTGGGTCACACCTTCCCAACCAGCAGGGGGCGGTACAGCCCTGTGTACAGAGCTGTGGTTTTCAGTAAGCTTTGGCTTAACAGCAACTGCCAGGAGGCTGGCCAAGAGCTAAACTTTAAAAAAAATTAAATATGAATATTTTCTTTTATGAAAGGCTCTTTAAGTTACTGAAATTCTTATGAGTGAAAGAAGACAGAACCGAGGGTGAAGAGCGTGTTTTCGCTCAAAACAAAAGTAAATTTAAGCCCCATCCCTTCAACATCTTACAAAACGACAAAACAAAACCTGAAACTTTCACATGACGAAGGAACGAGACATGGGGGACAGCGGTAGGAGGTAAAGCGGGTTGTCCAGTAACCAGAAGGTTGCAGGTTTGGTCCCGGCTCCAACCAGAGAATGCTGCCGTCGTGTCGTATCCTAACCTGCCTTGCCTGCTGGTGGTGCCAGTGCTCGGCAGCCTCGCCTCTGTCAGTGCGCCCCAGGGCAGCTGCGGCTACATCGTAGCTCATCCCCACCAGAGTGTGAATGCGTGTGTGAATGGACGAATGACTGACTGTGTTGTGAAGCGCCTTGGGGGGTTGTAGAACCCTAAGAAGGCGCTAGACACATACAGGACATTTATCTTGGACGAAATAAAAATTTGTTAAAAAAAAGAAAAGAATCAACAACAAAAGACAGGAATCCTGACTCCGACCGCCGTCATTCGCAGTGTGCAACGCTCTCGGAGCTGGCTGGACTGAGTTCTGGCCACAGGAATGCTGGCCATGATTCAGCACATTGCCTGCATGTTTAGGGGGATGACAGCAGCAGCCCACTAAGACCTTAAAATAAAAAAGCATGGCAGGAGTTTCAGCTCCTGTCGATACTAAAATGCCAAACATCTCACGTGTGTGTGATTACAACAGGCCACACAGTAATAAAAGCTCCACCATTCTTCAGTTTTACAAGAACGCAGTAAAACCGTTAGGTACAACAATGCAGGAGTCGTAATAATTAGGTCTGATTTCTGGATATAATCCAAGTTTGGATTATATCTGGATACAATCTAAGTTTGCATGATTTAAAATATATGTGTGCACTTATTATCTAGCAGAATCTTTCCACACAAACCACAAAATAAGACAACGATCAGTAGAGCTTTGTGTTAAATAAGACTCAGCTAAGTTATTTTAGACTCTTCTGAAGTTTTTCTGTATAAATATTACATATAAACACAATTTTACCCATTTTAGGAATGATGAGCTAACAGCTAGTAGTTTCAATGCACGATTGACACCTTGGTATTGACTGCGCTTAGAGCTGCAGCTGTCGAAGATTTTAGCATTCGCGTATTCCATCGAATCGTCCATTGTTTAATCGAGTAATCTATTTGACAACATTTTAAGTGAAGAGACTGGTCGGCTGCTAAATTATAAAAAGAAAAGGGATCAACAACATCTATTAAACTGATGTTGTCTAGTTCCCTCTTTCCCAGCTGATATTTACAGTTAATACATTTTTTATGGAACAAAATTTGACAGCACGTCATTAACATTTTAGATTTAACATCACTCGTCTTAGTCTAAACATATCTAAATATATATGATCAGTAGAATTTATTTATTTTAGTAACATGTTCAGTAGTAAGCTACCAGAAATTGTAATAACCTTTCATTTCTACAAGCAGCAATGAAACTGTGGTTTTATTATGCACAGGTTGGCAACATAATCGTGTCTAAATTGTATTCAAATATAGATGCTTTTGTGAATTACATGCTACAATGGCTTGCCGTAAACACGCTGCGTGGTGTGGAACAGAGTAGTAGCAACAACAGCAGACTCCAGGTAGCAGCTGCAGTGGCTCTGCTCCACGCTGCTGCAGCTGCAGAGATCCACACACAAACGGGACGGTTGGGAGTTTTCTTGGGCTTCTGGAGTTTAGTCATTCACAACCATGTTTTTTTTCCTGAGCTCCACTTGATTGCGACTCGTGAGCTAGCTTGGCATTAGCTAATCTATCTGTAGTTTAACTCTTGCTCACAAACTTTGGACCGTTTATGCCTTTTACGATGGTTTCTGTCTTTCCTGGGTCCTCCATTTTTCTCCACAGCATCTAAATTACAACATTGTGTTCAGACTGTGGTGCGCACATTTAATGAAGCTTCCAATCAGTAAAAAAAATAAATCGAACCATTCGAATCATTCGATGATTCGTTTCAACCCTGGTGGCGCCCAAACTATCCATTAGCTTATCAGTCCTGTTGGTCATAAAAGCTATTTATTCAAACAAATGGTAAATGTAGTAATTATCAATAACTTATATAAAAACATGTTGTTAGCCCTCTCAGGCTCAAAATAAGTGTTGATAAAAGGACGAACAACTCCCTCAGGGGAACTTCTGAGTTAAAAAATGCTCATGAAATACGTATGTGAGTAACCAGGTAGGTAGGTTTTAACGTTGCTTATCCGCAACACCTGCCTCCAGAGGGTTCAAAAAGGTTAAAATGTAATTTTAACAACAATAATAATTATAATCAGACCAAAGCAACTCAAGGCAGAACCATTTCCTGATGTTTCCATCTGGAAAATGTGTGATGGGAATGGGAACACACAGTTAGCAGCCTGGCAAGCCAGACTAAATAAATGCATTATTTAGTCTGGTAACGCTCCATTGACGGCTCTCGGTTGTGGGGCGGGTTCTACCGTTGTCTTTCAAATGATCTCCGCATGCTACTGGACAATGAATGTGACATAGGCCGTGTTCGAGTTGAGCAGCACCTCGCCTGGAAAACAGACGAGAGCAGACGGAAGCAGCAGGGGGAGTGGCTGAAAGCCGGCGTTTAAGTCGGACAGATGTCCCTGCATGTGTAGCTCGGGGGTGACGATGGCTGAAGATATCGCGTTAGCGTTCACACTTGTTTAATTTTCTATTTTAATTCTGGTGCCTGTTAGCAGCTGAAACACATCCTCACGTGCTTGTGGATATCATATGTTGTATATGAAGATATGACTGTAATAATAAGTAAAGGTTATCAGGTGTAGCTTCAGTGTGTTCATAGGAAACGTGACAAAAGAAAACAAAACACATTCCTCTTTATGGCCTATATAGTTATCATCATCAACGTAACATGATTTACAGAACACATGTGACTAACATTTCATGTTCTACTAGAGCCCTGCACTGAAGCCCTAGGCCCTCGGGTCGGCCCGGCCCTAGGCCCTCGGGCCGGGCTTCGGGCCAACGACTGTGTAATTACCTCGGACACGGGCCGGGCCGGGTGCCTTTATTTTTATTCGAAATCATTAAAAAAATTAAAACACTTAAACGCAGCAGTAGAGCCCTGTGCGGGACTGTTTTCTTCATCCCGCTCCGCTCCCGCTGAATTTCTGACCATTACAGCCTGCAACCGCAACGTGTGTGTTACACTCCCGCCCGCACCTGCAGCGTGCATGTCTACTCCCGCCCACACCTGCAGCGTGCATGTCTACTCCCGCCCACACCTGCAGCGTGCATGTCTACTCCCGCCCGCACCTGCAGCGTGCATGTCTACTCCCGCCCGCAACCGCAAAACTCTGAGAAATTATTACCTCACAATAAAAGAGATGTATTGAGTTTGCGTCCTCAACATGTCATTTTATAGGTTATCCGCTTTCACAGCAGCGCTGCGCGCCGTTTCAATCAGGCTGTACAGCAGGATTTCCCCTCGTAGCGATATTTTCTCCAACTCTGATTGCTTCATGCTTTAGATCGTTGGAAAGCTGCTTTTATGTACTTTTAGGAACCGTTGGAATTATTTGAATCTGATCAACCATTCAAAAGTTATAAAACGGAGCATTTTGGATGACAAACTCGGCACGTCTCTGAATCTGTGTTGTGATTCGTTGCGCTCAAGACAGGGAATCCCGGTGGCTACCATAATGTATTGTATATGCACGGAAAGCCCCATTTTTAATCTTTTCAGCACTTTTGGAATTTTAATGATATCTTGAACTAGAGCAGGGATCGGCAACCCGCGGCTCTTCCATCCATCTGCCGATGTGCTTGTAAAATAATGAATGGATATTTAAATAAAATGCTTTATATTTTACTGAATTAATTTTATATCTGTAAGTCAATTCTATGTGAAGATTGTCTGCGTAAACCTGAACAGGTCCAACCCGGTCTTACTGTGAGACCGTGTTGGGTCACGCTTGAGTAATCATATGCGCTCATGAGCTGAAGAGGATGTGAGATTCTGGGCTTCTCCTTAGACAGGCTCCTGGATGTGTCGCACATTGGAGACAGGAACAAGCGCTATTCAGCCAAAGTTTCATAATCAGGGAACATTTTCTAAGTGACAAGTCTCTGAGAGACAGGGTTTGGAAAACACTCGCTTCAGTGGGAAGCTTCCCGCATGCGCTTCTGCGACGCTCGGATCCTGCACATCTTTTAACACATTGGTCAGGATTGACGCACTTTGTTTTCATTTAGTTGGTTAAAAAAAGTCGGGCTTGGGCTCGGGCCGGGCCAGAGAATCCTGAAAACCTTTTTGGGCCGGGTCGGGCTGGGGCTCCACCCCCTCGGGCCGGGCCGGACAAGGGCTCAGATTTTAGGCCCGTGCAGGGCTCTATGTTCTACCACCAAATGTTTGGATCAGAATATGAACCAAGCAGATCTTAGATCAGGTGAGAGCCAGGTGTTTCCTGTCATGCCCTAGGTTTTGCAGCCGAGGGAGAGCAACTGCAGCGCCTTGCTCCAAAATCTGCGGCCGCCTTGATCTCACGAGGTTATCGTTGCCTACGTAGGCATGATGTCAGAGCAAGTCGGCGTCAAGTCGGACACAAATCTAACCGACATGCACTGCTCGCCGATCACCGCTGGTCTACTCTGCGCAGAACTGGCTCATCTCGAACACAGAGATACTCTTGTTTCACTCTGTTGCATCATCCCACCCACCAGGCATACAGGCTGTGTCTCAATTCAGGGTCTGCATCCTACGTCGGCCGGATTCGTCGGCCGGTTACGTCGGCCGGTTACGTCACAGCGCCGCGACTAGGCCTGTCCCAATTCGAAGACTCCTTCAAATGCGGTCGACGAATCCGGCCTTCTTTTTGCCTGAATGAAGGATGGGTCCGGTGTATCCTTCAATAGGTAGCATTTCCCAAGATGCCTTGCGGGCCGGCTGGCAGAAAAACTTAAAAACAATGGCGGACAGTGAAGCGGGAGCCGTCGGAGAGGATTGCGCATATAAATGTCAGTATAAACTTGAAAACTGTTAGGTTAAGGGCTTTTTGTGATACGTGAACGTTATTTTAGTTAGAAATGTTACAGTAAAAGTGCTTGTAATGCGGTCTCGGCTCGTATGTTCGGCCGCTCGGTGTCGTACTTCTCCCGCTACGTTTTCCCCCTGATTTTAATAGGAGTTTGTATTTTAGGAACAAAAGAGAAAACCAGGGAATTTATTAAGCTTAGGGCGGAGATGGACCACATGATCACCGGAGCAAAGTATTCGGCGGCTGTGGCATGGAGGTACAATAACACTTCATATTTTAAAAACTCGTTTGAGTTTATTTTTTTCTGCGAAAACATGAAAGGAATAACCCGTTGTCCTCTTTTCTCTTCCTGTTTCTTTTCTTACATGTTTGTTAAGACTATTCTGGAGAAAATGGGCATCCAGGGGAAGGTGACAGCGATGACCAGCTTCTGGAGCTGATCAGGGAGGACACGAGGCTGCAGAGGGAGGCAGAGCAGCAGAGGGCACAGGAGAGAAGGGAGAACTTTGACAGCTTTTTACTTTGCTAGAAAAAATGGTTAATAAAGATTAAACATGTACATATAAAAGAAATATGTAAATAAAATCAGTTCTGCATTAAACTCTTGAATTTTATTTTGTTTACAAATGAGAATTGTTTACTAGAGGGTATCCGCTGGGTCTTGAAAAGTCTTAAAAGGTGATAAATCGGTTTTGGTCAAATTAAGAGCCTTAGAAAGTATTAAAAACTATTATCACATCTTTGCTTAGGCTCAGCTTGTCGAAAGTATTTTCTCTGAATTAGCTCTCCAACAGTCAAGGAAATGATTAAAGATCTAAATAAAACTTCGAGCTCCATCGTTTAAAGTTCCTTCTCCCTTCTGCTCAGCGGTTCCACGGTTGCTAGGCGACGGAAAGTTCACCGAGGGAGAGGCGGGAATTCATGAAGGCTAGGCCTGTCCAAATTCATAGCCGTTAACATCCGGTCTACCCAGCCGACGGAGGACCCGGCCCACGTCGGCCGAGTAGACTGGGTCCTTCGAAGGATGCAGACCCTGAATTGAGGCACAGCCATAGAGTGCCCTGATAGGCCCACAAAGCGGATGAAGCTCTGTGATTTGTTCACTAAGCAGATAGAGCACTATGATTGGCCCACCATTATGGACCAATCACAGCTCTTTATGTGTTTGAAACCCCTCTAGAGAGCTGTGATTGGCCAGCCAGAATGCTGTTGGGGCTGCAGAGGTTCCAGTGGAGAATTTGGTCTGGTTCACTAGGCTACACAGTTAATGCTATCTTGCACTAACCAGAAAGCTGATACATCAAACCGGCCTGTCATACAACCTCTAAGGGAGGCCAAGTGGGACAAATGGTTATAGATAAAATCCCAAAGCAGCCATCAGCATTAATTAAACAGTGATGATCAAAGAGACTAAAATCTGCTAAAACACATCCAGACATGTTAAAAAAGGTTCCATTTAAGAGGTGCGGGGGCAAAAAGAACCAAAATAACATCAGGAGTTGTTCGTCATCAAGGTTTGACTTTTATTGCGATGCGTGTGAATGTGTGTTAGTGCATACAGTGTGTTTAGGTTTCAGAGATGAAAGGGACACTGAACACAATCCATTATTGTCCATTACAAGCCATTAGTTTTCCCACAGCACTCTTAAGTGAAACAATCCTGTTTATTGATGGAAAAAAGAGCAATCAGCAGGAAGGAGGCGGACACAGAGTCGGATGATGCATTGGCACAAAGAATACAAATGGGCGTACGATCCAGCAGCAAACAGACACGTAGAGAAGGAAAGTGAGTAGCTCTGCACTAACTCCCGTTACCATCTTAGAAACAGACAGTCTCTGGATTTGCTGCCTTACGTGAAAACCAAACAAAGCTAACGTGCAGTGGGACCCCCCTTCCTGTTTCTACTCCTGTTCTGGTGCTCTCTGGCTCCGTCTGTGTGGTTAAAACCAAACAAACAACAATTGCTGTTTATGTTTGGAGAACCACCCGTCCCAGTTATGCTAACAAGCTAATGAGGGCACATCAAATTTTACCGCCGTGTGCATACATATCACAGACCAGCCGTATTAAAAACAAACAGCTAATCTGAGAATGGTTAGGTACACGAAGCATAAATCATTTACCTCAGATCTGCTAGAAAACTACAAGTTTACGATGATCTCATCGTTGGAGTCAACACCAGCTCCCAAAGAGAAGATAATGGCGAGGAACACAATGGGAGTATTTTTCACAGCTGAGTGGCTACGTTCAGTCTGGTTCCACCTGGCTAAAGCTGCCGTGAGCTCTGTGGTCTGAACCGGAGTCGGTAGACCTGACTCAGTTGGATCGGGTTAGCTTGGGTCACTTCCACAGTGCACTGTGAATTTTGGGGGACCTTATTGATCTCCACACAATGAAACAGACGCAGGTCTCACCAACTCCCTGCAACGCCGGACGGTTACGTTGATAAAAGCCAGCAGCAGAGACAGTCATCACACTGCCAGCACGACCGCAATCCCCTGAGCACACACACACTTTTAGACTTCTCACCCCAACAAAACCTCTGCATTAAGAAATGTAATAAGAGTTGGACTTTTTAAATCTAAAAAGACATTTTAAAAAGTTGTTTAACTATTTTCTAGAGCCACACACAATTACTCGAAATGTGCATTCGTGAATACTAATGAGGCACCGACCAGTGGTAGTAGTGATGCTTTTAAAATTTAATCAATACATTTGCAGTTGTCTAGTAGAAATGAATGCCTTGTAAGTCGTACTCTAGGAGAAAAAGCTCTGGTGCGCCTGTTTCAGGAATTAAAAGTGAGCCACATCAGAGTTGAGCTTCAGACGACAGGATTCAGTCTTATTTCCTGATATTTGGACATCTCATCTATGATTGGCTAACAGCAACACGACTCAACCACTGACTCCGTTTCCTCTGCAACGTTGATGTTTTATCTTCACAGGAACACAAGCCTGAAGGAGTTCTGCTGTGTGGTGGAGTTGCTAATGCTAACGGTTAGCTTCTACTGGCAGAGACGCTCTCTGCTGTTTCCTAGACACTAAATTAACAACAGCCTTCCCTGTCAAGTGTCAAGATGGACGAGTCCATGAATGTTTAGTGTGGCGTAGATCTGTCAGGCGTTTCTAATCCTAGCATTTCACCGTCTGTTTTCGATCAGAAGCTAAAGCAGGACATAGGTGTTGGAGACTATTTTCATGTTCAGCCTGCATGAAAAACTCAGAGTGACTGATTATAATCAGAAATAATAACTAAAAATGGGTTTTCAGTGAACCACACTTTTAAATTGGAACATCCACTGGTGGAGCTGGGTGCAGTTCATCCCTGAATAAAGTATGAAAAATCCGTAATAACACGTGTAACACATGTTGGTGTAATTTACCTGCAGGAACAGACAATTTAAGTGAAAAAAATATTAAACTAAACAAATGTATCATAAAGACTGAGTCTAAATTACATCCAAGGTGTGCTGCACTGATTCAGTTTAAACTGACAAATTTCTAACTCCACCTTCAACTGTTCACAAAGAAGAAGCCATTATCTGAGCCGATGCGATTGGAAAACCTCAGTCCAACTCTATAAATAACACAGGACCTTGGCTTGTTTACATCTCTCACAGAAGCGTTTGTTAGGAATACAAGGAGTGCAGGGAAAACATACATGTTAAATATTTTAATCCGTGTGGTGAAGAGGTTTTAGGTTTTCAACAATTAATGCCTTTAAGGGTTTGTTCCGTCTCTTTGGCTCAGGAGATGGAGAATGGGACTTCTGCGGTTCAGTTACTAAGACGTTTCTGCGAGGTTTTTGTTTTAGATCAGATGGGCTGAAGGTTTGAAAGGAGAACTTTTGCATACTTTACTAATCACATCTGACCTGGAAAACAAGCTTTGCTGGCATCTTTCCAGATACAACATCCCAGATAGAAGCAACCTTCTAATAATAACTCGTGTGGTTGTCCAACACAGCTGTTTTTTTCCCTACCAACTGTGTCCTACTCAGGACCCTGTGATTAACTTTCTCTCATTCATTTTTTTCCTTCACATTTTCTAGTCAAATGTTTTTCTTTTTCTCCTTTATTTATTACAATATTGTTTTTTCTTCATTTTTTTAGTTCTTGTGCAGCACTTTGTGATTTTTAGATCTTCTGCTGATGTGTTTTTATTATGCAGTAAAACAAATATTTCATATATATATGAAATATTTTTTATATAACACCTCTCAAGAGAAAAATCACATGGCAAGAACTAAAAATAAAAATGAACAAAAATATTTTCTTAATAAAAGAGGGGGAAATGGAAAATCTTTGATACAATTATATACAATTTTTGTGGCTTATCAAATATCACTTTTGATTCTTTTCACTTGGAATCAAAAATCCAGATTATGACATATTTAATGTGAGGGTATTTAGAAGTCTGGGGTTAATAATATCACATATGTAAGTTGGGCCATCAGATCAACTGAGGAAAATCTTTACATTTATGTGTTCACATTAAACTAAAACATTACTAATAACCTGTCGGTACAAATCGGGTCTAATCACGTGATTTTCAGGAAATCTGAAAAGGTGGGAAAAATCTGACTTAATGATACAAAACAACAAGCATTACTTTTTTAATTAATCACGAGAAAGAGATTCTCAAACAGGATAACAATGGCTTAATTGTAAAATCAACACGTTCCTCTAAATCAGCATTCTTTGTTTCACAGACAACACCGTAAAGTCCCACAATTTAAGGTAGTCCGGGAATTCACGCACATGTAGCAGTTAGCTAACACAGAGCATACTTGTCACCTCAAGTGAAAGAAAATGTCTAATTTGGATGTATTTTTAAATGAATAGCAAAGGGAGTGTAATAAACATGTGTAATGTGTGCACACTGGGCATTTAACAAGGTAGAAAAGGTAGTGCTGCGTTCAACACTCGTGCGACATCTTTAAAAAAACTGACCTTGCTCAGTTTGCTGCAAACTAAGCCAGCCGACACTAAAAGATACCTTAGGAAACCAAGAAATATTTGTGGACAGCAAAATGCCATAAAAGCAGAATATTTATCACATTGGATGAGCATCTGTGGTTGCAAACATTGGGTTCTGCAGTCTCCTTCAGTCGCGGTATGATCTGCTTTCTCTTCCTAACTTAATAGATGTAGCAACTCTACAGGTGTTTTGTAGAAAACAGTTACTCTGCTGCTGCCTGTCATGTGCCACTGAAAACAGCTGCACACGGAGTAAAGGATTTAAAATATGAGCAACAAGGCTACTTTTACATATATTCTTGATTTTAACATGTAGAGCTGAAACGATTCCTCGAGTACCTCGAATAATTCGAGTACAAAAAATCCTCGAGTCAAATTCTCTGCCTCGAGGATTCGTTTAATTCATATTTAATTAATTCATGGCTTTGCAATCGCCCGGGGTCATGTTTCACCCGGACCGAAATAAGTGACGCACATGCCCACTGGACTGAATGCACACGCGAGTAGCAAATATAACTTAACTTTCTCTTAAGCCATGGCGGACAACTTGAACCCCGGTGGAGTGCGAAAAAGACAGAAAATGTCAAAGTTGTGGAACCATTTTTCACGTCGTAAGGTGGAAAACGTAGTCCAGTATAAATACAGTAAAATGGATTTAGCCTAGCACAACACCACATCCTCCGTGCTGCAGCACCTGTAAATGTCACTTCTGCAAGCGGACTCGGAGCCTCTACAAGATAATGCATTTTAGCCTGTTTTTCTATATATTCTGCGGACTCTGCGACTTTTTCGTTTGTAGCGCTCAGTTTCAGCTCACACCGTACGTCTGGTAGCAACACGTCGAACTTAAAATGTGCTAAAAATAGCAGTTTTTACACAACACGTTGGACTTTTTATTGCGTTATTGATGTCCGTTGTCCCTCGGGGTTTCTGCAGGAGGACACGGGTATTTATGAGTGGCGGAGGAAAACGAAAGAAAGTAAATACATGTTTTGTGATCAGTATAATTTGACAAAACCACAGCAAACATGCTCTCGACAATCCTTGTTATTGTGAGAAAAAAAGTGTGGAAATTAAAACGGACGTGTGTTAATAGGGAAACAGCCGGCGAGCTGTTTGCGCCGTGAGCGGTTCTGGTGCTGTTTGGGCCGCAGCCGCTCGCAGCACTACTTCAACAGTTATCCTCCTAGTTTTTGTCTGACTTGCAGGCTAGCAGATTCTCGCACGAGGGGAAAATCGGCTCAGGTTG